GAAGAAGACAAAAAACCTGACGAAGTAGATAAAGAGGTAGACACCCCAGATGCAGAGTCTGACAACAAACAAGAAGAAGAAGAACCCGAAGCACAACAACAACAAGAAGCTGAAGCCCAGGAAACAGTCACACAGGTTGGCAACCACTCACAGATCGGTGATGAGGTACAGGATCTCTTTGTTAAGGAACTTTCAGTCTTCTGTGTAGTGTAGTCTGTCTCCGTGTAGTGTAGTCTGTGTCAATCTGATGCATGGGGCAATGGTAGAGTTCTAATAGTTAAAGAACCTGGCTGTAATGTTTGTGAAATGATTTTAACGTACTATATTTCAAACAACCTGAAACAAGTTATACAAACAAACTTGTAAACTGAAGGGTGATATTCTTTAACCTTGATTTGATTTTTTTTTTATTTTTATTTATTTGCACATTGAAACAAAAACATAATGCAATAATACAAGAATGAAGTTACAATAGGTGCAGGAGGAGGGCAGAAGCATGGAGTGCTTGTTCGAGGCCCTCCCCCTCTAAATTTAACAAGAAGAATGTAATCGATGATTTAGATTAAATCATGTACATGGAAAATAATGCATAAGCATGATCAAACAAATACGTAATAAATTAATGACAAAGAAGTAGGGTGGTGTATGAATATGATGCTACAATGATAACAATAATAATTGGTATCAGATAAAATGAGAAAGAACACTATATGAGATTACTGCAAGGGGCTTGGATGGTTTATCAGATGGTTTTTCAGAGCTCGTTTGAACGGCGCCAGGAAAAAGGAGGTAGAATTTTTTAGGGCTGGTGGTAGTTCATTCCATAGGGTGACACATTTGTATTTGACTGACATTTGGGCAAATGATGTTCTTAGTAAGGGAATTTGAAAATGGGAACGTTGACGAGTTTCATAATTGTGAATCTGTGAACGAAAGTTAAGAAAGTCATCAAAGGTATCAGGGAGATTATGGTTTATATATTGGGCTGCAAAAAGTGCTAGTTGAAATCTATTAATGTCATAAATATTCAAAATTCTAAGTTGTTTGAAAAGAGGTGAAGAGTGGGTATAGAGATTAGATCCAGTGGCAATGCGTAGAAATTTTTTTTGGAGGATTGATATAGGATGTAGAAAGGTTTTGTAGGCATTTCCCCAGACGATATTGCAATATGTGAGGTAAGGATAGATTAGACTGTTATAGATGGTGATAAAGGTTTTGTTGCATAGGAGATGTGAAATTTTCCTTAGTATCCCGGTTGTTTTTGAAATTTTATTAACTACCATAGCAATGTGGGGTTTCCAGGTTAATCGGTCATCTATTAGTATTCCTAAAAACTTAGCCTGAGATTCTTTGACAAGGATATGGTTTTTTAAGTGGATGGTGGGATTTTTCCTATTATTTGCCTTGTTTTTACTACAAAAGATCAGATAGTAAGTCTTTTTGATGTTAACTGATAGTTTGTTTGCTTCGAACCATGTAATAACTTTTCTAGTTCTTGGTTGGCTAGTTGAATTAGAGTAATCAAAATCTGCATGTGAGGAGAAAAGAGATTGGTATCATCAGCAAATGAATGAAGAACATAATTTTGGATGCTTCAGCAAGGTCGTTGACATATAATAAAAACAATAGGGGCCCTAAAATCGATCCCTGGGGGACACCACAATTAATAGATTTGCATGAAGAAGAATGATCGTTAAGGACAACGTACTGTTTTCTATCGGATAAATAACTGGTAAACCACTTAAGTGCGACGTCATTAATGCCATATTTGTTGAGTTTTTTCAAAAGAATCGAATGGTTAACCGTATCAAAAGCCTTACTCAAATCTAAAAATATCCCAATGGTATATTCGTTATTATCTATGGCTGAAGAAATTTTATCTATTAGTTGTATAAGTGCCATTGAGGTAGAGTATCCTTTTCTAAAACCGTATTGATGTTTGTAAAGAATATCGTTTTGGTCTAGATGTTTTAAAAGTCGTTTGTATATCAGTTTTTCCAGAATTTTCGAGATGCTAGGTAGGATTGAGATTGGGCGGTAATTACTAACTAAGGTAG